TTTCTTTCCTTCCCCCCTCCCCTCCACCCCAACGCTTTGAGGAGAGGAGATGCCTGCTCCCAGCCTGCTTAGAATCTCTTTCTAACATTTATATCACAGAATTATCCAGAGGGGGCCGAAGGAGCCACACAAGACATTTTGCTCCAGAATCCACCCCCTCTCTTCTTGTCTTCCTTGGCTCTTCCTGCACTAACACCTACGCACTGCATGTGTTACATGAGAATTATTTTTGTTGGTCATTTTTACTTTTTACTGTTAAGGCAGTAATTTATTTAGACAGCATGTTAAAAATAAAACCTAGCACTCCCATTAACCTATTTCACATTCATTTTCATTTTTACACAAACAATATGAATAGAAAAATTTTAAATGCAAGTGAACAAAGAAAAAATATTGAACCCTTTTATTTTCACTGTCAGGTATAGATAGCAGCTGTTAGTAATGGGGTTTATGGCCCCGTAGTTCCTTTCTCTGTATGTAAATATTTATCTTTTCTTTAAAATGGCATTATATGTAACCAATTATGTTGTGACCTGATTTGTTTAATATCTAATATAGCATGAATATTTTTCTATGCCATCAAATATTGATAATATAAGTAGCAGAGATTACTACATGCCAGACACCAGACTATTATATATATATTAACGGATCCTCTCCTCACAACATGCAATATCTTGGGTAGTGTTATTAATCTCGTTTTCTAGGTTAAAAAAACAACAACTGAGTCATGGAGAATGAGATCTCTTGCTAAGGTCACACAGCTCATAAGTGACAGAACTAGGTTCTGAACCTATTGATAGTCCAGCTCCGGAGGCCATGTTTTTGACCACACAGCTCTGATCCACACCTTCATTTTCATGGTGATAGTATATAATCGCTTATCTAACCAGTGTTATACACAGAGCAGTAATGAACAGCTTGTTCCTTGCTCATCTTTGTTCATGTGTTCTCTTACAACTTCAGGTTGAATTCCCATGAGTAGAATTGCTGAGTCAAAGAATTTGCATATTTTTAAAATTTTGGATGCATATTGGTCAATATATTTAAACAATATCTTCTCTAAGCCTTTTGAACCCCTACCATTCATTATTTCTTTCAAACAATGTATTACTGTTTTTTGGATTTAATGATCTTTTTTTTTTTCTTAAAACATGGAACTTCTATCCCACCTCCTCTTCCTTCCTTCTGCATTTCACCCATTTCTCTCAAATGTTTAACAAAATAATGCCCTTTTCCGAAGCATCAGGCCTGATATTGTTAGTACTTCCAGTGCCTTGCCCCTCCTAGAATTTACCCATTAGATGGGGGTATATACAGAGATGGGAGTCTGCTCATTTGTCTCAATGTCAGTTTTCTGTGCTATTAATTCTCTTTTGCTTTCTCCATTTTATTTTTTCTTTCTTTTAAACTTCACAAGAGTTGAAGTAAGAAATCTGTCATATAATTTTTCCTGATTTCAATATATGTGAATGAAAGTGGCCTGCCTAGTAGGGATGACTGATGGGTTTGAGGCTGGGAAGGTGGGGCTCCCTACTCTTGTTTTATGACCTTGAGAAAGCTGCTTAATCAGCTGCATTTAATTTCCTAAATAGTCTGAAAACTTATTCCAGGATTTTTTTTTTTTAAGTGTCAGGCTACCCAAGAGTAAGCTAAATTTTTGAAAACTTTTGTGTGAAATTAGGGCCAATGTGCATGTTGGTGAAGAGCTGTTGGAGGCCGTAAAGGTTTGTTTCAATGTATTAAAAATAAAGAACATTATAAACTGATGAACCAAAAGATAGATATAGAGACAGTAAAACAAAAAGCAGATTGTCAAATAACAGCGGGGAGGGTAAGGAGATCTGGAGGAGATAATAGATCAACCGAAGGACTTGTATAAATGCATATAAGTACAACCAATGGACACAAAACTCTGGGGAGAGAGGGTATGTAAGGGAGGGGGGGTAATGTTAAAATATGTGCACAGATAATAATTTAATTTAAAAAATGTAAAAGAAAAAAAATAAATAAAATTCATTTAAAAATAAATAAAAATACTTCGTGCCTGGTCCCTGGACCAAGGCCTCCAAACAGTGCACTTTAGTGGTTTGGGAAACGTGCCTTCAAGACCAAGGTAATTATAGTTTCTCCACTGATGCATGACAAATGGCCTCTCACTGTGAATTCTTTTACGGGGAAGAAAAACCTTCCATGACAACAGCACTGGAACTTAATTACAGGCTTCAGACCTGGAGGCAAGAAGAGAGATAGTCATGGGCTGCAGTCAAGGGAGAGAGGACAAGAGCATGAGCTCATCTGGCAAGAGCCAGCACGGGGTGATGTAACAATGACAACATTCATGGCACTTCATTGAGAACTTGCTATTTGCCACGTACTGTCCCAAAAACTTTATATACATGATCTCATTTAATTCCCACAATAACCCTAAGGCATAGGTTATGCCGTAAGTACTTTTATTTTTTTCTGTTTTATAACGATGAGTATTGGCAGAGTCTTAAAAGGAGCTAAGTAACCTGCTCCAAGTTAGTTGTCAGAGGTAAGATTTGAACCCTGAAAGCTTATTCATTTACTTTAATACACACGTGTTGAATGTCTGGTATATGCCAGGTACCCAAGGGCTAGTTGTGCACAAAGGAAGAAAGCAAAATCCCTGCTTATATGAAGTTTAATAGTGGGATGAGACCAGCAATAACAAGTCAACAAATCAATAAGTAATTTCAGTCAATGATGTGCAATGACAGGGAGGGTCTGGGAGTGTGTGTGTGTGGGGGGGGGGGCGCAATACTTTACATAAAATGACAGGAAAGGCCCCTGCCGCCCCTGAAGGTGACATCTAAGCTGAGCCCTCCACAATGGAGCCCATCAACCATGCAAAGACTTGCTGGAGAGCATTTTACCTGGAGGATCCATAAGAGCAAAGGCAGAGTTCAGAAAGCTTTTGTTCTAGGAACAGAGAGAAGGGCAGAGTGGTTGGGTGATAAGTAAAAAATGGGGACATGTCTGCAATGGAGTCAAGTGGTGGAGCAAGCCCAGATGGCACAGGGCCTTGTAGGCCACAGTGTGGTGTTTGTGCTTTATTGCAGATGCAGAAGGAAGACACTAGAAAGTTTTAAGCAAGGGCCGCGAGATACAGTGCAAGTGCTACTGACACACTGTTGTCTCTATGGGTGGCTTTCTTCACCTATGATATGTTGCCAACGAAGAGCAACTGGAAAGTAATCAATTGTGCATGTGAGGGCCAGTCTAAAGGAAAGTTAGAAAGTTTGGAGCCAGTGTTTCAGATGAAGCAAAGTCTAAGTTTTTCACAGAAATGGGCAATGACAGTCATCTAATCCTATGACTTTAGGTAAGATGACCTTAGGAAATCTGAGTTGAGCATTTGAACTGTATTTTCAAACCTGAATAAGGAACTGTCTCTTATTTGGGGGGCCATTCCTCAAAATGCAGAAAGTCGCAGTCTAGGTTTTGACCATTCTTGACCACTCTTCGTCAGGGGTTGTGCCTACCTCATGGAATAAATCTCATCCAAAATAACAAGACATTGCAACTTTGGGTAAATGATATCTTGGGGATTTACATTTCTATGTCATCTGATGTGTGTGTGTGTGTGTGTGTGTGTGTGTGTGTGTGTGTGTGTGTATGAATGGCTGATTCTCTATCTGAAAATTTTTGGCAGTGCAGGCCTAACAGTAGAGATTTATTTGAATGAAATTACCTTTTGAGGCATTTATTTGCCTCTGTGATAGGATGGGTCCCAGAGAGAGAGATAGTAATTGTGGAAGAATTTAATTGAAACTACCCATGTGTAATTGAGTAGGATTGGGGAACGTTCATCACTCTTGAGTTAGGTTTTATTTATAAGTAACTTATTTGTTTCTCAGCAGGGGAAAAAAATTCTCAAACTATCTTATGCCTGAGGTTAGAAGAGTTCTATTCCTTTGCACCGAACTAGTATGTGACGGTGGCACAAGGGCAAGGACAGCATAAGGGTGTCTGTGCGATGCCGTGGGAGGGTGGAATGACAAAGGCAGAGCTTCCTACCTTAAAGGTGTGACTGAGAGAACTCTACAGGTTTCCCCAGCTCAGCTCAACAGTCTTATTTGGGGGAAAATAGTTTCCTCTGGCTGTTTAAGCTGGAGTGTGTTTCACCACGGCCTTTGCTGGGAGCTGGGAGCACTAATAATTCTGTCAGAGTTATAAATTCAGCTGTCAGCACTGAGACTGTTGAGTCAACTGAACAAGCAGATTTTCTTCCATTGTCTGTTTTTCAAGCTGGTGAATAACAATTTCACCCTCTCCATTTTGTTCTAACTCTTTCGTTCTGACACTTCTGATGGCAAAGAGGTTTTCTAGAAATTTCCTATGTCACATTTTTGAGTCAATTCAAGGAGATAATGCGATTCCAATTGTTCTGACACTTCTGATGGCAAAGAGGTTTTCTAGAAATTTCCTATGTCACATTTTTGAGTCAATTCAAGGAGATAATGCGATTCCAATTGAATCATCGGTGTCTCCACTGTCAAACCCAATCTTTTCGGAGTTGGTTGAGTCACACAGCCTCCCAGATTTAATATTTAACATGCTTGCCACTTTGCATCTTCCCTCAAGTCTTAATAAATGGGCTAAAGGTCTGAATGGAAACTGTGAGATAAATTATATGTTTATTATGCCAAGTTAAGTAAATACTGTTTGAAAGGGTGACTAGAGGGTACAATCAAGTTAATTGCTTTAAAAATCCTTTTGGGTGTACTGGGCTCTATGAAAATGGTTAAGTAATTGATTCTGCCACAGTAAATGATCTGAGGGAACGTGTGTTGGGTCCCTGAGGTTGCCGTGCACACTCTGTCCCTCATGCCTGGGACTGTCCAGAAATGAGTGGAGGGGCCGTGAGATACAGTGCAAGTGCTGCTGACACACTGTTGTTCCTCCAGAGAAGATATGTGTGTTGACAGTTGGATGGTCAGGCTAATGGATGTTTGTCTTTCTTTTTACTCTAGATGCTGAAGAATACCAGCCTCCGATATGGAAATCTTACTGTGAGTACCTGAAGTGGGAATTTCCCCAGATGCCTGGAGCAGGCCTGCCTGGAGAGCCATTCCGGCCATTGATTTAGTGCAAAAAGCAGCCCCGTCTCACGGTCTGGAAACCCTTTGTTTTTCCATTAGGGAGAGAGATTGGTCAGAGAGGTCTGGAAAAGCACTCTGCCCTGGCCGGGAGCCCCAAGGACCGCTGCCTGTGACCCACTCAGGGATACTTATTAGAAAAAGATGCCTCTGATTTAGAGCTTTCTTTCTTTCTTTCCTTTTTTTCTTTTTTTTTTTTTCTTTCCTTCCACATTTGGTCGCAAGGTAAATGTTGAGTTCCTTGAATTATGTTCTTGGCCAGTATCTTGTGGCTATAAAATCCTGTGACATTTACCACAAACATTAACAGAAAGCAAAGAATAATGTTGGGTCACTAAGGGTGACTCCTTAGAAAGAGATCATTTTCTGATCATTGGTCACTGTGCAGCTTTCCTTCGTGAAGGCAGACAATTATCATCACTTGAAGCTCCTTGTCTCCTTAATATCACCTACCTGGCTAAGTGCGTCCCCCGTCAGAGAGGAAGGAGTGTGGAGAGCCAGGGACACAGGTTCTTGTTCAGGCCCTGCTTCCAGACAGCAATAAAACATAATTATTGCTATTGTTATTGATGTTGCCACTGTTTCTATTGCCCATGGGAGACCTGCCATGGGTCAGCTGCTGCGCTAGCTACGTGCCTGAACTCTCAAGTTCTCCCCGAAGCCCTAAGCAATCAGCACTATTACTATCCCAATTTCATGCATACGAGGGACAGCTCAGGGAGGTTCTGGAATGTGGCAAAGGTTTTACCAAAGCCTTGGCGTGGCATTCAAAGTAGAACCCACAGCCCACAGTTTTCAATAATTTTTTTTCTTTCTTTTTCAAATCTTTTGCAGAAGTGTATATACTAGTACACACACAAGATACCCATGTATGCAATACCTATGTATATATGTTACGAAAGCAATACAAAGCCACATAACAGGCAAACACATTATAGAAATACATAGAGCTAAGAGTAAAAATTTCCCATAATCCATAAACCACTCTCTCCCCATATTCTATTCCTCTTTCCAGTAGCTGACCCTCTCTGTTTTGAAAGCCATATCCTTCCAAGTGTATTTGAAACATGCCCAATATTAATGCATTTTTGCTGCTATTGCTTTGTTTGTCAAAATGGGTCTCTTTCAACTTGCTTGTTTCATTTCTTAAATATCTCATCTTTATCTTTTCATGTCAACATATATGCAGACATCTCATTTATTACATGAGCCTGTTCTTCCATCTGTGAAATAAAGGGCTTGCGCTGGGTCTCCAAGGGTCCTTCTGGCCTACTGTTCTGCATTCTGATCTTCTCTTTTAAAAGCTAGTGCTAATGACTTAATAATTGGATGTTTTTGTTTGTCCCCTAATGGAGTGTGAAGTGCTCTGACAATAAATCAACAAAATATCTGTAGCGAGAGGTATTGGATGTTCCATGACTTACCTTGCTCTGTGCACTGCTTTCACACATTTGTTGAGTGAATGCCACTGCAGAGAATTTTACTGAAGTGAAAAGGCAGCATTGGCTCAATTTCATTTCACCTTTTGCTAAGGGACCTTGGATCACCGAATTTAGCTCTTAAAAACACTCTCTATGTCCTAAGAAAGCTAGAAGAGGCATTCATAATGGCATGTTCACAATATCAACTTTTACCTTAGTGTTTTTTAACTTTGATTTTTAGATCTAACCAAATTAAGTTTTTATTTGCTCTAGAATCATAAAACTTTAGATGTAGAAGAGATGGTTGAGGCCATTTAATATAAAGCTAATGACATATAAGAAGTTCCTCTTTATTCCATCCCACTATTAGTCATCCAGGCTCTAACTGAGGGAGTCTAGTATTTGAAATTCCAAAATCGAGAGAGTATGCCATTAGCTGTGCCATCTATGTCATCAAAACTCATTGACCAAAGGCCTACAGAGCACCGCTGAGAAAGAACTCCCTTTTATTTGTCCTGGATCCATGAATTGTTTGAGTTCAAGTGTTGGGTCGCTTATTAACTCACCTGAAATATTCCCAAACTCATGCTACTCCATCTTACTCCCAAGATTAGAATCCATTCATTTGATCTTTTCAGCAAACATGCAGTGAGCACCTCTGCATGTCACAATAAGTGTTAGGAACAACAATGAATAAAATACTTTCCTCCAATTTACAGTTTAGTAAGGGAGACATATGTAAACCACTTAAAATGCAAATGGATTTTCATAATAATATACTTCTCTACCTCCTGCGCATAGAGCAGACTTTATAGAAGAGGCCAAATTTGCATGTGAGTCTTGAAGGATAAATAGAGGAAGGAATCTGAGGGCCTGGTAGAACTACATGAGATACTTTTAAATCTCCAAATATGCTAAATCTATAACATTTTTCTGATCTGAAAGTTCAACAAACCTATCAGAATATGAAATTTGTTTTGTTTTAAATAATCTTGTGGTAAACACATTCTGAACCTCAGGAAACACCAAACCTTTCTGTTTAAAATATGCACAAACCATCATTTGAGAGATTAACTTTAAACACCAGTGTTAAATTCATTAGCATATTTTTTATAGAGTTCACATTTTTTTCATTGCACATATATATTTTTAAACTCAGGTGGTTATTTGGTACTTTGAAATCTCCCATATATTTACTGGATTCAGTACATCTTTGCCATATGATAGGACCTGATTTAAAAGTTCATGACTTGCAATGATTCTAGAATGTTGTAGTATATCTTTGCTTTCATCCATCACCTGTTTTGGGTCATATCGTTGACTTATTTGATATCAGATTCTTATTATGAAGCATTAGCCCCAATCACGATACTTTTTTCCTAGGAGAAAATTAGTCTACTTCATAATGATCCACTTTAAGAAGCTGTTTTTCATGGTAATTGCAATGCTCTAGGTTTCAGGCAACAGAACTTAATCACATTGATTGACTTTAGCAAAAAGTTCAGAGGAACCAGCTTCAGGCAGGATATGTTCTCATCACTCTGAGGATGTTATCACGACCAGCGTGTCTCTCTTCCTTCCTTGGCTCCACTCTCCTACATTTGGCTCCACAACTCATAGGCTCCATTTGTGATCCCCAGAGAGCGGCCAACAGCACCAAGGCAACCAGGCTCACTTAAGAACAGCAGGCAGAGAGACACTTCAAGCAAAGTGTTAGAATCGAGTCTCAGCCCTGATTGACTGCTCACAGTCCTGACTCCATCACTGCAGTCAGAGGGGGGATATGCCATGTGCCCTAGACCAAGCTAACTCAGGGAGTGATCAGTCTTGTATTTCTACGTGACTGGAAAATTTGAAGTATTGTTGAAACAGGGAAGATGGAAACAGATGCTGGGAAGACAACCATAATTGTCTGACTTAGACATTTAAAAGAGTAAGGGACCTTAGAAGTCAGCTCTCAATACTTTAAATAGAGTAGATTGTTCATTGTTCATTCAAACATCATTCATTCTTTCACCAAGTGCATATTAACTCTTTGCCTTAAGCCAGACAGTGGACTTAGAGCTGTGAGGCCACAAGTATGGATAAGACTGGGTCTTGCCAGGATGTCACATGATGTCCCTCCTCTACTCCCTTTCTTAGAAGCAGATGGTATCGCAGGGCTGTTTCCATAAGAACAATCTTGTCCCAAAGTGTCATGTATCTTCAGCTAGTTCTTTGTTCTCCAGACCAAACCCCAAAATGTTAATGAAGTAACTGAGAAGAAAGCTATTGTTTTCAATTCTCAGAAAGAAAAGCTATTTTCAAATTGGGGGGGGAAAGGGGAAAGCATATTCTAAGCTTCTCAGCCAGAATGGTATGAACTCTATGCCTTAATCAGATAAGTTAAAAAGCCAGCCACCATGAGTATACTTTGAAAGATTTTCTTTTTTAAAAGACCAAGTGCCAATTAAGCGGCAGATGCGGTGGCCGACAGCTCTCAGAGGACAGCCTCCTGGGCAGCGGGTCAAGCAGCCACAGCTTGGGCCTGTTTTCCTGACAAAGAATTTGGAACCTCAGAACCCTGGTCCACACCCCACCTGCATCAGACTTGTCTGGGGAGCAGATTTATAATCATGTTTCCTCAGCCCTGCCTCAGATATCAGAATCAGAAGAGTGGAGAGGGGGAGGAATCTGCGATGTATCAGTCCCCACAGGGGCTCTTGGGCACACTACTACCCGAGAGCCCCTGGTTCCAGTGGACACAGCCTCCTCGGGCTTTTTGCCATGCCACTAGACAAGAAAAGGGCTCCATCCCCATTAAGACCGGGCATTCTGTTGGCCAGGAAGCCACACTGTAGGCTGGAGGTGGGGTTGAGCTAAGAAAACATCTAAAGCACCTACCATCTTTTACTCACACCCAGGAGTCTTTTTCCATGAAAACTAGGAAGACGGGCAGTGAGCAGGGTAGTAGGGGCTCAGTGTCACACCAAGGGACCAGGTTCAACTCCTGGGTCCACAGCCTTCTTTAGAAACAAGTGACGGTTAGAGGACGATCCTGCAGAATCTCTTAGGTCCTTGTTAAGACTTAGGAGACAGTGGGTCTGGACTGGGCTTCAGCACCACCCAGGCCAGCAGCTGTCCTTTGATTCAGTTCCCCAAGGAGGGACTGGTAGATTCAGTTCCCCAAGGAGGTAAGTCGAGTTTTTTTATTGAAAAAAAAAGTACATTTTCTCAGTGAGCTCTGGATTTCTTAATCTGCTTTCGGTTTTTTTGGAGAATAGGAATCCCTTTTTTTTCTTTTTTAACATCTTTTTAGTGATTTCAGAGATGAATGGAAAGGGAGAGAGGTGTAGAAAAATCAATAATGAGAGAGAATCATTGATTGGTTGCCTTCCTGAACACTTCCTGCTGGGAATGGAGCCCACAACCTGGGCACGTGCTCTTGAATGGGAATTAAATCATGACCTCCTGGTTCATAGGTTGACACTCAACCACTGAGCCACACTGGCCAGACAGGAATCCCCTTTTTCACCTTCATGCTCCTCAGTCACCATCCCTTACCCAAAGTTTACCAAATGGCTTATTCCATATGAGAATTCTCTCACGGTCCAGGGCTGGGCAGTGCCTGACACATCATTGGAATATTGCAATAGAAGCAAATTCCATTATATCGTCCCTTAGCCCATAGAATGACCCAAGAAGTGACATATAGTATTGCATTTTGCTTGTGAAATGTATTTATTGAACAAAGAAAATTCTAAAAACGACTCTTTAAAACTACCTGGCATTTCAGTTTTATGACATGTTTCTCAGAGACTTCTCAGATGTTTGTTGAGTTATAGCTAACCTTGAAAATGGGGGACTGGGGACCTCCCTCGAAGCTAAGATAACTTTCAGGGCCCCATTATCTGACATAGCCACCATTGCCATTGGTTGCCGTCTCATTATCTTTATAGAGACACATAATCCAGAAGGCAAAGAGGCTTCTTGCCTGTTTGATGATTTCTGTTGCTAGGAACAGCACAGAGCAGACCTTGTGGATCCTGAGACCAGCTCACTGAGACATGGTGATCAGTTAACGATGAATGCTACTTGGGGACCAGTAAGCAGAGGTGGTGTCCCTGGCTTGAGGGGTTTGCAGGAGCCCTATCAAAATTGCCCCTGGCATGGACTATTTCCAGTTGTGAGACTGGTGAGCTACAGCATTTATCTATTGAATCTCAGAGGGTCCCTGGAGGACATAGTTACCAGCTTTGCCTGTTGGCACAGGAGAGGAACTGTAATGTATCCTGGGTGATGGTTAACGGCATCTCAGTCTCTCAGTCATTCCGTTTGTAATCAAACCTAGTTCTCCTCTGCAATCAACCCACCTTCCCACCTGCCTTTCCACCGGTGTTAGCTTAACTCACACTTCCACCATCTCCTGTGTGTCCGTCTAAAATACTGTCTCTCTTGCTTCGCTGCCTCCACCATCCTCAGGGAGGCACTGGGTGATGGTGCCCCTCCTGGCTGTGCATCAGAGTTTCCTGCATGGCTTTCACAAGAGTATTTTGGGCCCCCGTGCCAGACTGGCAGAGTGAGCATTGCCAGGGACAATGGGTTCTGGGAATCTGTATTTTTAGAGCCACTCCTTGGAGATCCTAACGCAATCAGCCCACTTGGGACCTCTCCACTAACTGCCTTAGGGAACAACTGGTGAGGCTAAAAAAAATGCAGACCTTGGAATCTGGAAATTGGCCTTTAAATCTTGATTTCTTCATATCATCTGTGTGAACTTGAACATGTTCAAAACTTGGCATCTCTACTGCATTACCGATGAGAAGGGAATAACAGTTATCTCAGAAGATTGTTGGGAGAATTAAATGAGAAGATGTGGATAAAGGTGTCTGGCACATAGTAGGTATCCAGAAAATGGCAGCTTCTGTTATTCTGAATAGTCTTATTCATATTATTATTCTTCAGAAACAGACTAGCTCATGTCACCTCCATACTCAAAACACGTTGCCACCTCCCTCCCCATTGCAGAGAGAAGGCCACCCATGCCCTTAGTATGACTTGCAAGACTCTGTTCCACGTGGCTTCCTCCCACAACTGCCCACCTGGTGCAGTAGACACCCTAGACTCTCACTGACCAATCAGCACATCATTCCCTTTCCCTCCCAGGGCTCTTTCCTCCACCTGTAAGCCCTTCTCTGTTCTCTGCCTTCTAATCCTTCACAGAGAGCTCCATGCCTCGCCCTCAGTAAAGTACATGGCTCACCCTGTCTCGTTTTTCCACGTACACCCCCCTCACTGGGTCAGTCTCCCTGAGGGCATGGATGGTGACCCATAGTCATAGGACAGAGTTCATTCATTCATCGGATATGCATTAAGCATCTTCCATGTGCCAAGTACTGTTCAAGGTGCTGAGTCAAGTCCCTGCCCTCGAAGAGCTTACTATAGTCAAGGGAGACAAGGCACAAAGCAAACCAAGTGTGTTAGTGGTGACAAGTGCTGTGAGGAAACAGAAACCAGTGTCAGGGAGCAGAGGGAGGGGATGGAAATTCATCCCAAATCAGGCAAGCCAGGGAGGATGTGAATGGAGGCAGAGTGAGAGCCTTGTGGGATCTTGGGAAAGAGCAATCCAGATAGAGAAAACAGCAAGTGCAAAGGCCCTGGGGCCTATGAAAACAAACCAGCGATTTGGAATCAAAAGGATGCATCTAGCTGGATGCTCTGGGACAAATATTTAATTTCTCTGCTCTTGTTTGCTCACTAAAACTGAGAATGGCTGTGATACATGTTCTTTTTTCTGAGTTCTCAGGGACATTTAATAAAAGATTGTTCCTGACATATGACAGGCACTCAGAATGCTGCTTTCTGTCTCTTCTCCCTTCCTCTGCTAAGCCTCCATGGAATGCTGACTACGATTCCTGGCCATAGCACATGTTCATATGTGTTCTCATATGACTTGCAAAGGCATGCTTACCTAAAAATGCTTCCCTTGTAACAGAAATATTTCCTTGGTCACCTCCAAGTGAGGCATTAAAAATGGTGTCCACACAGCCATTCCAGCCATGCCTGACCACGTAATAGGCATTGGCAGTGGGGAGAGAAGGAGGTAAAGATTCTCTGGATCAGGAACTCTGTGATTGCAGGAACTGGCCTCCCATTCTCATTGCACTCACTAACAGCAGCAGCCCCCTAACAAGCAGCTAGCCAGTGTCGGGGCTGGTTCAAGAGGCATCAAGGAGCATCTCATGATTTAAGGAGAGCACGGGCCCTGCTGGGACAGTAGTGGCATGTCCGCTATTAGTTCTGTGTCTTTGGTCAATTCCTCCTCGTGTTTCCTCTTGGCCAAGAAGTCACCTCTGACTCTGTCTCCATACGTGGGTACCAAAGTGACACAAGCATCTCCATTCGTAAGGGACAACTTAAGCTCAGAAATGTGGAGCATTAAGCATCTCTAAGAGGGTTAGATAGGTCCCACTCTGTGCTGAAGTTGGGTAGTCTACACTTAATTAGGCAAGAAAGTAACCGCTGAGCTGACGGCACTGGGGAGCCATAATTACAACATACATCCCGTCAGTGCTATCCCTGTTTCCTCATAACCATCTGCCCTTCAATTAAATATTATTTTTAGACCTAAGAATAAATCAGGATATTCTGCATATGTTATGACATTTTCTAGGCTTTACATGATTGAGTTTTTAACTTTTCAAAGATTTATTCTACCTAAAACTAAAATTCTTCCCTCTCAAGATTCCAAAGATAACAGCAGCTATGATTGTTTTCAAGCTCTGTGTTCAGGGAAGTGGAGCCTGCACTGGGCAGCTTCCCTCTCGGGGAAGTAACCGGGCTGGCTGCACAGCAGAAATGCATTTGTTACAGCCTGAAAGGAATCCCAAAGAACCGTCTGATAAATTGTCCTTTTCTATTTAATTACCCGCTTTCCTCCATGCCCACGCCTGGAAGTCTGTCGTTAAAACAGGATATAGGAGCGTTATTATTATTTAAGATATGAAAGAGCCCAAGGAAAAGGAATGACAATGGGTGGGAAATAGTCCAACAGATGAGAACCCGTGGTGATAGGCGGGGCAGAAACAAAACTGGTGGAAGCAATGAGCTGGGGTTCCATTCAGTCACAGAGGCAGTGTGTCTTTGTCCATTCCTGTAGCATTTCAGAGAATGACACTCCTTCCTAAGGCCAATCTTTCCCTGGTATGTCAGGAGCCGCGGGCATTTACATTCAGGAAACCTATTATTACAGGATCTGACTACTGACATGCTCGCAAGTAGAATTTCATCTTTGCAACAGTCGCAAGAATTTCAGTGCTTATCTAGTCTTCCAAGAAAGCCATGAAATGAACAATGCCGGTAACAATTAGGAAACTAAATTGGCCTTATAAGAATAAAAAAATCAATTTTGCCAGTTTATATTCCCAGTGACTAATTTCCATATAAATGACCTGACTTTATTCAGTCTAAAAAAAAAAAAATGGGCCTGTCTCCTCTGTGTTTTTGTGTTTGAAATATTTGCCATTTTGGAGATGTACTTAGGTGGAACTCTCTGAAGGCATGCTGGGATGTGTTACCGTTTTCGAATTATAATTAACTTTTTTGTTGTTGTTTCTGGCAGTGTACCAGCTACAGCAAGAGGCCCCTCGTCCCAAGAGGATCATTTGTTCTGGGGAGGTCAGTACTCAGCTCTTTGCAATATGTCTTGTGAAAGATGATGAATTGTCAGCACGAGGTTGATATTGGACGGCTTTCTGGTTTCCTGGGAGTTGATTTCTATTAACGTTTGTCACAGTGTCACCAAATTCAACATCTTAATCCATATTTTGAAGACAGATGTTATTTTAAAAATACTAACTAACTTGGAATCGAATGTCTCACGTTTTGACCATTGCAGAGGCAGAGCAAGCATCCTTTATAAACCCTCCCCCACGCCCCAAACATGCATTTGGGTTGTTTTCCTTGTTCCTGTTATGTTGATTCCTTTATCATATGTTTTATTATGGAATGCTTCCAACAGAGAATAATAAATCTCTTGGTACTCTCAACACCCACAGATAACAAACCTTTATACTTTGTTTTACTGACTTGACATTTTTAAAAATCTCTACAAGAAAAGTGACTGTGTCTTTATTCTTGGAGTGAGGTTTAAACAATATGTCGACTCATAAAAATGCTGACCAGCCCCCAGAACTCTCCCTGCCTCTCATTTGCTGCTCAGTCTCCTATCACCTGGGATGCCAGCAGCACTTGAAAGGCAAGATTCTGGCTTTGTTTTCTGTTTTTATTCGGACCTGTTTCTTTCACAGCCAGACTAATATCCTTCAAACAAAGGTCCCGGGTCCTCACATATTTCTGTGATTGGGACTTTGGATAAGTATAGAGAGTAACTGATCTCTTTAAAAGGGTCACACCCACCTTGTGGGGGCTCCAGTTCCAACACTTCTGAGATTCATTCTTTTTGTTTGTTTGTTTATTTTAATATATATATATTTTATTGATTTTTTACAGAGAGGAAGGGAGAGAGATAGAGAGCTAGAAACGTCGATGAGAAATATCGACCAGCTGCCTCTTGCACACCCCCTACCGGGGATGTGCCCGCAACCAAGGTACATGCCCCTGACCGGAATCGAATCCGGGATTCGGATTCGATTCCGGTCACTCTACCACTGAGCCAAACCGGTTTCGGCTGATATTCGTTCTTGAGCATCAGTACTTTGTGGCAGCCTGACCTGGTCTGGTTTTGAACGCGTCACTGACTTAGGTACCCATACCCACAGCCAGCTCTCACTATTAATAAATGTTTCCACATACAATTTTACTTCTGTTGAAAGGCATTAAAATTCATCAGGTAATCTGAATTTGCATCCGAGAGCTATAGCCTGAGAGGAGAAAGTAGCTGAGCCCCAGGGAGTTCTTCCGGGTGAAGTTACATCTTTAGCGTGTGGTCTGACCTTGGCTGTCACTCACCCCGCTGACTGTTGGCCTTTGGTTATTCGGGAATATCCAAATCAGAAAAGAAGAGGACAAATACAAAAATGTTGACGAGATGCTTTAAATAGGGTGCTTTGGGGGAGAATTAAGAAACAGGGTGTTAAAATGTACTACTGTACATCTAGTATTGCTCCGTCAGAAAGAACATAGCCACGTGTCCGGGACTAGAGCAGTTGAAGTGTCTCCATGAAAAGCGTGTTTATGCAGTCAGCACCGAGCTCCGGACTCTTCCCGGGAGAACAAACAAAGTCTCTAGGCAAGGCCGGGTGGGTTCTAAGTCCACAGGGTAGAGCACATACTCATCTCTTCATTTATTCAACAAGGACATGTGGGCAGCCTGCTGTCCTGACGTTGAGCTAGGTGCTGGGCACGCAGCAAAGAACTTGCCTGTTGGTTCTCTGAGTGTCATATTAGAGAACAAAATTGTGATGCATGTAATAAAGATGTATTTAAGATTTTACGTGTGTGTGTGTGTGTGTGTGTGTGTGTATGTAAAAGAGAGAGGGGAAGGAAGAGAGAGAGAGAGAGAACTCCTTTGTTTCTCAGAATTCTTGAAACCCCATCAGTAGTCCTCTGCGCAGGTGTAATGGAAATGGGCGAATTCAGATTAACTTCATAGAAGCTCTTCCTGGTTCAGCTGAAACTTCAGACCTCCAGCGGGCTGCGGGTCACCTCTTCTCTTTCATGATGCACTTGCGTCGGAAGGAAATGCCACTGATGCCTTAGCAAAGCAGAGCCATGTGCCCCAGCTGCCACTGTGACTGAAGGACATGGTGTGTGTGTGTGCAGCTTGCTTATTCCCCTGCCTGTCTTTGAAACCCAGCTTGTCACCTGTGGACCTGGATCAATGTGATTCCTTAACGTTAGCCTGGCTGAGGCCGGATTCCTAGGCAGCTTGCCTCTAGAAAGTTCGCATCCCCTTTCTGCCCTGAAACCGACCCTGAGGTGGGCTTTCTGGGCTGCATTCCCTGGGCAGCAGCATGGGGCGCAGCCAACCAGGCAGGGGCGGTGATGAGGGCCGAGTGTTCTCGCTGCTTCTGTGAGTGCCTGAGTGCCCAGTGCCTGCAGGAGTGGCTGCAGGTCCCTTTGTCCTCTGTGCAACATGACACACACAGTTTCTGCCCTGATTGCTCTGCCTCCCAGGACATGGCCTCCTTCGGCAGAGGCACGACCTGTTCTTGGATGTTGGGGAAACCATTGATCCTGCTGCAGTCATGTTTGAGTGCACGCCTCTGCCTGATCACACACCCACCTGCTCGGGGGATGTGCCTGATGAAGGCAGAACGCTTTCAGTTAGCATGTGTGGCCAGTTGATTAAAGCTTTATGAACACAGTTACATGAGGCCGCGGAGGCTATTTCTTATGAGCAGTGAGTTTGGATTTTTCCGTCTTTGCCATGTCACCCCTCAGCCAGCTATTATGAGTCCTTATTTTCCTTTTATGCACAGTCCTGCTCCCCCTGCCTCAGTCCTTCGCCCCTCTCCTGCCCCTGACAAGCCTGCCCAGCTGGGCTGCTCCAACATCCCCCATCTCTCTGTTTCTCTGATAAGGGACATCCTCCCAGGCTATGAGCCTCTCTGTGGTCAGGATCCCCCCAATGGACGTGAGAAATGCCCACACCACGGCCCCACGTGAGTCCGCAGACACAGAGAGACACACTGTCACTCCAGCCACAGACGCCAGCCACCTGACTTGGATGCCTGGTGCTGACAGCAGCTACCAACCACCTAATGGGCTTTGTTGGGGACTCAGGGAGCCGAGGGTACAGACGGATTCAGGAGGCAAAATCCAAAGAGTTCTGCACACCCAGATGGGGAGCTGGCTGCAGCCCCTTCTAGGCTCCTGACTTGGAGCCAAGCACTTTCTGTGGCAGAGGGACTAAGGTCTCCTCTGCTGCCCCCCGAAGGGCAGACACTGACTTTGCAGGGCACCATAAATGGAATATACACTGAGTGGCCAGAATATTATGATCTCTGAACACATAATAATATGGCCATTCAGTGTATATCCTATATAATAAAAGGCTAATATGCAAATTGTCTCCTCGACCAGCAGGCAGGCCAACTAACCACCCATGTCCCCTCTCCCTGGCCAGGCTGGCCAGACCCCACCCATGCACAAATTCATGCACCAGTCCTCTAATATATATATATATATATATATATATATATATATATATATATATATATATATACTCTGAGTGGCCAGATTATTATGCATTCAGAGATCATAATAATCTTGCCACTCAGTATATGCGTCAAGTGTGGAGAACAATGCCTGGCACCTAGCAGGTATCCAGGTTCCTGCTTCACAGCAGATTCAGACATTTGGGAAGAACGGGTGCGGACACTGTTGTTCGGGCAGACTCAGAGCAGCGACAGTATTTTCTGAGCTGAGGGCAAAAAGGCGGTGATCAAGGACAAAGCAAGACACCTGGGTCAGGTGTTCACCCCCAGGAGGAAAGATACGGAGGATGGGGAACAGAAGGTGCAAACAGCCGACAAGGCCCTGCACCAGGGCAGCCGCGAGGGTCAGCGCCTGAACAGCAGTCCATTGCTTTCTGGAGCTCCCTCGCTGTCAACGAACAGTCACCGAGCAGCCGCAGCACCTGGCACTCCACTGGCATTTCCTGGGGCCTCCTTGCCAAGAATCAGACTCTTCTAGTGTGCAAAATGCTCGCTTGCCCTTTTCATCAATTTTCAATCAGTCGCCTCCTAAGCATTTATTAATTACCACACGTGTGTCTGGGTGGTCTGCCAGACCCATGCAGAATGTTTTCTACCCAAGACCTCTCCCCCGAACTCCGAGCACCTCACTCCATCTGTCTCCCTGACCTCGTCATGGAGATGTCCCGCAGGCCCTCTCCAGCCTAATGGTTCAAACAGAATAGGACCCCCCTTCATTACATGGCTCCTACCCTCAGAAACCTGAGTGCTACTCTCCTTCCCCGCCCCCTTTTCTCTTAGCAACCATCACACTCACCTCCAAACAGGTCTTGCTTTTGCCTGTTCTTCTTCATATCCCCGAGTGTCATGTGGGCTGGGCCATTCTCATTTCTTACCTGGATTATCCCGGGTCAGGAGTCTCTTGCCTTATCTCTCTGCTTCCACTCCTGCCACTCACATCACTCAACTTTGAAAATGAAGTGTATCTTAATAAATACTGCCCTTATAATTAGTCAAAGTGAGTGCATACATTTTTGGAGACATCCTATATATACAAATATATATATACACACAATACAATAATTAGTAAATAATAAAACAAGACTAAATGCCTGTGTTTCATGTACTCACAACTGTAAACCTACTTTTGCCACACTCTGTATACTTTCTTGTCATCTTTCATTGTTTCCTTGTTGTTGTATATCTCTCTTTAGGAGAATATAAGCCTCAGGGACTTCATCAGTCCTAATCATGTGCATTTCCTTCCCTGGCATTGAACACAGTGCCCTGCAGCAGTGGGCAATCAGTACGGTAAACTATATGAAAAAAGGATAGAGACCACGAATGTAAGAAATTTAGAATTCTCAAACCATTACCATAGCAGATCGGATATTTACTCAGTGCTGTTAGTAGGCCAGTGAATTGGACTTTTGTCAGGTAAACTTCTTACTTCCACACAGACTAGTATTTTTTTTCCTGGAATATTCTAGATTTCTGTTTGGCCTCTTGGGAAGGCCA